GAATTGGCAGAACCACTTCCAAGAGGGAAAAAAATTAACAGCTTATTATGAAGCAAGAGTTGGCATTCTAAAGCCCACAGACCAAATCTGTTCCTCCACCCATTTTTGTAAATAAAGTTTCATTGAGACACAACCATGATCACTCATTTGCCTCCAAAGGCTGCTCTTGCACTACAAGGGCAGAGTTGAGTAATATGAAAGAGACTATGTAACCTACAAAGCCTAAAATATTTCACTATCTCACTATTTACATAAAACATCTGCCAACCCTGGCTTTAAAGTTCACTTAAGAAAGATCATTCCTGACTTCAGATGAGGAAGTGACAACTTTTATAACTCTATAGGATGAACAGTTTCTACCACTTTGAAGAAATTCAGGAGAGTTTGTGAACTCCATGATTAAAATGTTTGTTTAGAGCAGAACTTTCAAAATTTCCCTTACAATCCTGTTCTCTTCAATAGGCTTCTATAACACTTTCAAATACTCTATCATCTCTCTCCCCTGCCTTAATTGTTTCTACTCATATGTCAATCCGAAGCTCAGGCCACATTCAGCAGCTGCTCAGGATGCTACAGCTCCGGGCTGCTAACTTGTCCTGTGGGAGAGATTACAAGTAGACGGCAGGCCAGATTGTTCAATTCAGGCTATAATCTGTCCCCATGAAATCAAACTAGCTGCTAAGAACACCAATTTCTCTCTTTCCCCAGGAGGAAGCTACAGCCCCTCACCTCAACACAGCAAGTCCTGACCCAAACCATTAAAGGCCCTTTCCTGTCGTTGACCTCTTTAATTCTGCCAAAATGTCAGCACAACAGCATCACAAGAAATAAATGAAACCTTTGAGTTCATAAAACATTTTTTAAAAGATAAATAAAAAACTACGTAAGTTAAAAGACACTAAACCTGTTTTCACTAGGTTGTCAAGGAATCAATGTAATCCAGAGGTTAAATACATGTACAACACACATGATCAATTTGGATGCCCCAGAAATTAAACTGGTGAGGATTAAGGCACAGATTCCACTGGGATGTATCTGTGTATTACAAGTAACAATATATTTTTGCTAACCAAATTTTAAGGATACACAAGATTACAAGAAAAACATTCAATTAAATTGAGAAAAAATGATTTAAAGTGCTTAGGAATGAAGAAGGCTTATGAAACTGAGCACAGCAGTAAATTCTGTTAGTTAAGGACCAGATTAGTCAAGATTTGGGGCTAATAATTTCTTTCAGTGGATTATCAATTTTTCAGACTGAGTAAAAACACAAAACAAAACAAATCATCCAAAATAACACCTTAATACTAAATCTACTGTAGACATATATTTTCCTTTGATATATAAAAACTCTAGAAATCATTTATATCCATATTCACTACAAGAACCATAAACTTTGTGATGTTACCCTAGAACAAAGCAAAACAACTCATATGCTTACTGACTTTACTATATATTTAAAAAAAAACCTTGGCTCGGCACCCATAGCTCAGTGGTTAAGGCACCGGCCACATATAGTGAGGCAGGCAGGTTCAAACCCGACCCAGGCCTGCTGAACAATGAGAACTGCAACAAAAAAATAGCCAGGCATTATGATAGGTGCCTGTAGTCCCAGCAACGTGGGCAGCTGAGGCAAGAGAATCACTTGAGCCCAAGAGTTTAAGGTTGCTGTGAGCTGTGACCCATGGCACTCTACCAAAGGGCGACAAAGTGAAATTCTGTCTCAAAAATAAATAAATAAATAAAACCTTCTAACGACA